ATAAAATTTTAGCTATCAGAATCCAACAGTGTATCAATAAGATAATTCACCACAACCAAGTAGGATTCATTCCAGGGACACAAGGATGGTTCAACATCCGAAAATCAATCAACGTTATCCAACACATCAACAAAAAGAAATATAAAAACCATATGATAATATCAATAGATGATGAGAAAGCTTTCGACAAAGTGCAACACCCATTCATGATAAAAGCCCTTGAAATTCTTGGGATACAAGGAACATACCTCAACATCATAAGAGCCATATATGACAAGCCAACAGCCAGTATCATTCTCAATGGTGAAAAGCTGAAAGCAATTCCATTAAGTTCTGGAAGAAGACAAGGATGTCCACTCGCACGACTGCTTTTCAATATAATACTGGAAGTCCTAGCCAGAGCAATAAGACAAGAGAAAGACATACAAGGATTCCAAATATGAAAAGAAGTCAAACTATCACTATTTGCAGATGATATGATAATATACATAGAGAACCCCAAAAACTCCACAGAAAAACTAATTCCACTCATCAGTCAGTTCAGCAAAGTGGCAGGATACAAAATCAACACGCAAAAGTCAGTAGCCTTCCTATACACAAACAATAAATCTAAAGAAGAAGAAATAAATAAAATCCCTTTTAGTATCGAAACAAAAGAAATCAAATATTTGGGAATAAATCTAACAAAAGAGGTAAAGGACCTATGTTAAAAGAAATAGAAGAAGACACAAAGAAATGGAAAGATATCCCCTGCTCATGGATTGGAAGAATAAACATTATTAAAATGGCCATCCTACCAAAAGCAATATACAGATTCAATGCTATTCCAATCAAAATTTCAATGTCATTCTTCAAAGAAATAGAACAATTATTGATGAAATTCATATGGAATCACAAAAAAACCCGAATAGCGAAAGCTCTGATGCAAAAAAAAGAAGGGAATGGAGGCATCACACTCCCAGACTTCAAACTATACTACAAAGCCATAATCATCAAAACTGCCTGGTATTGGAACAAGAACAGATACACAGACCAATGGAATGAAATAGAAAATCCAGAAATAAACCCACAGATTTATGGCCAACTAATCTTTGACAAAGGAGCAAAGACTGTGCATTGGAGCAAAGGAAGTTTGTTCAATAAATGGTGCTGTGAAAACTGGGTCGCTACATGCAAAAGAATGAAGCTTGACCACTACCTCACACCATACACAAAAATCAACTCAAAATGGATTAAAGAACTAGACATAAGACCTGAAACAATAAAATACATAGAAGGAAATATAGGTGAAACACTATGTGATATTCACATCAAAGACATCTTTACAGACACATCACCCAAAGCAGTGATAGTGAAGGCAAAAATAAACAGCTGGGACTACATCAAATTAAAGAGCTTCTGCACAGCAAAAGAGACAATAACAAAAAACAAAGAGAAACCCCAACGACTGGGAGAACATTTTTGCACCCAACACTAATGATAAAGGACTGATCACAAAAATCTGCAAAGAGCTGATGAGACTCAACAACAACAAAGAAAATAATCCCATCAAAAAATGGGCAGAAGAGCTAAAAAGAAACTTCTCTGAAGAGGAAATGCAAATGGCCAACAGGCATATGAAAAAATGTTCAACATCACTTGTAATCAAGGAAATGCAAATCAAAACAACCATGAGATACCATCTTACACCAGTGAGAATGGCACATATTAAAAAAAACTAGCAACAACAAATGTTGGCGAGGGTTTGGATAAAAAGGAACTCTCCTGCACTGCTGGTGGGAGTGCAAACTGGTCCAACCACTATGGAGAGCTGTGTGGAGATTTCTGGACCTACTAAACATAGAGCTTCCATATGATCCAGCAATTCCACTCCTAGGTATTTACCCAAAGGACACAGAAACATCAGTTGCAAAGAACACCTGCACCCCTATGTTTATAGCAGCACTGTTTACAATAGCTAAGCTTTGGAAACAGCCCAAATGCCCAAAAATAGATGACTGGATCAAAAGATGTGGTACATATACACCATGGAATATTACTCAGCATTCAAAAAAGATATAACATGCAATTTGCAGCAACACGGATGGCGCTGGAAGGGATCATGCTCAGCAAAATAAGCCAGAAAGAAAAAGAAAAATACTGGATGGTCTCACTCATAGCAGGAATCTAGAAAACTTAAATAAGGGACCAAGAAAATAAATTACTATAAGAAAGTGAAAATCAAAATCAACAAAATACTATGAAACTGAGACACTTTTTGCGGGGTGGGGTGTGGGACGGAAGGGATTGGGGTCAAAATGGGGAGGTTGCAATTGTACGGGGAATATAAAAATAAAATTTATTATATTAAAAAAAAGAGGAAAAAAAAGAAAATGCATTATGACTAACAAAATTAAACACCCCAACATTAATAACCACCCACAATTTTCCACATTTACAACTATGGATACATAAAAATTAAATGGAAAACAATAAACTTGATTCTATAAAATTTCAACTCCTTCTTTGAAAAAATGTAGTCAGAACAGGAATAAAAAGATTCTCAACCCATATCCCAATGTATGGACTTATAAAATCAATTTAAAATAAAGAAAATGATACACACATATTCAACTTCACAAGTAGAGAAAACAATTGCAAAATAAAGGTCTTTAAAAAATAACTTTACTCTCAACAAATACATTTTTTTCACATGAGTATGCTAAAGTGAAAGAAAATGTGATGAGATAATTGTCTCTTAAATTACCATTGAATACAGATTTGAGACATATGATAGGGAAATGATTCTTTTAAATGTATTTCTATATTCACTTAATAATTTTGTATCAAAATGCCTGCATTTATTTGTTAATTGAACATTCATTATTTTATTTCTATCATCTCCAACTCTCTCTATAAATTAATATTTCTAAACATATATATGTGAGTTTATTTGAAATCAAAAAATGCATAAATAAACACAAACTTTATCTTTGAACATTGTTTTTGGACTCAACAAAATTTGTCCAAACATTTCATTTGTTTTTTGCATCATCCCTCTGCAGATGTATATATATATTGTGGGAATTATATATATATATATATATATATATATATATATATATGTGGGAATTATATATATATATAATTCCCACAATATTTCAGAAATAAGGAAATTGAGGTTCTAAGAGTTTAAAACTTTTAAAATTACATAAAATGTCATGATAATGGATCATTCTTTAGATAAAAACAAATGAAAATATATACCATAACTGCAGTTTTGAGAAAGCACTTTCATTCTTTAAATTGTACATTTTAAACATGTGCAATTTGTAATATGAAATTACTCTCCAATAAATTACACAAAAGGAACAAAAAAATCTAACACTACATGGATCATAGTAGAATTCAGAACACAGTACATGATTCATATTGGAGCAGTGGTAGGAGATATCTATTCTTCCCAGGAAGAAAGAAGAGTGTCATACATAGATTCAGAAAAGTAGAAGTAAATTTAAATATACTCACATTTGCACATATTTTTATATAATACAAGAGATAATAAGATAAACTGATGATATATTGGTTCAAGGGAGAAGAGCGCTATGATTCACAGAACATCATGAATGAGTCTTAGAAACATAAAATAGAGACACAGAGTTGAAAATAAACACATCAGAGAGCAACACAGCTCAGAAAATTCCCACCATGCAATCACCTTTGGTAATAAAGCCATTATACTAAATTATTGTTTGGCTTCTTATGCAATACTAATTAACTGATACAATAATTTAAGTGAATAGAAGTGAGAACAGTTATAATAATCTATCACTGGCTATTATTTTCATTGTTTTTATTTGAAAAATACATTTATGGTTGCTCTGTTATTTCACTTTATTTCCAAAAGCTGTATTAAAAAAAAACCTCTCATTGGTATTGATATACAGGTAGCCAGAAAATGTTGAAAGAATATGAATAATTGTTCAGTAAGCTGGTGAATAGACAGGAATTTAAGTTTCCTCCTGAGTCATTCCTTGACCATATTTGGTGAATACAATCCAAATCATAATGGAAATAATAGTCATTTACCACCCTTCCTTAGTTATGAAAAATTAATAAGGGAAGATATATTTCCTTCAAATAAAAGAATATTATTGTAGTTGCACTGGAAGTTTTCAAGGAGAAATTTGAGGCTAATTCAATAAAAACATAAAGAAATGTCAGTTCTTCATCTATATGTATAAACTCTCCAAACACATTGACACCAATCCCCATAAACCAATAAGTAGATGTGGAGCATAACAAAGAAATATTTTGCATTGTAATGCAAACTCTACATCATATTGAAGAGTATTTGTAAATCTATAGTAACAGTAAATCAACTTATTAATTAAAATGTATCTCTCATGCATACTTCTCATGCATCTCACATTGAAATATGATATGATGTAAGAACACATGATCTTAATGAGATTAAACCCCAGTGACCAGCTATAAAACACACTGTATATTAGTTTGCATTACCAGGCAGTAATATACAAAGGAATGATGTACACAACTATGAAACACTTTGATTTGGGATTTCCCCGAATATAAAATTATATACATTGCCTTGATCATCAAGTGTAGTTTCTTTTCCATAGGAGTAGTGGAACTATGTTGCTTCTCTTAGTAAAACAAAACTTATTTGATATCATATATAACAACAGGGAAAATTATTCAAAAAATAAATTCCATAGTATTTCACTAGATAAGTGGGCATTTCAAATTATATATGTACCACAATTGGGATAAATATGGGAACATATGAAACAAACAAAAAAAAGAAAAACTGCTGGCTATTAGAGCAGAAAACTTAATAAAGAGGGCAACAGAAATGGAGTAGAGAAGTTGAGGTGAAAGAATTGGAAATTCCAGAAAATAAATAGAGAGAGAAAATTCTACTTCCAGTGGCTGACAAAATAAACACATTTTCTGATTCTGAAGTTTTGACCTCTGCAATTATGGTCACTTCACCACAACTATGACAATTGTCCATTTATAATTTCTTTCACAAAGAAACTTTTCAGGGACCTCTTTATGTCTTTGTTCCTCAGACTGTAAATGAAGGGGTTCAGCATGGGTGTGACCACCGTGTACATCACTGAGGCTATTGCACTTGATTGTGAGCTGTGGGTAGCAGCAGAGCTAAGGTACACTCCTAGGATTGTACAATAAAATAAAAGAACAACTGAGAGGTGAGATGCACAGGTGGAAAATGTTTTATACTTGCCCTGAGCAGATGAAATTCTACGTATGCAGGAAACTATTTTAAAGTAAGAGTAAAGGATACAAATAAAGGGACCACCAGCCAGCAGGAGAGCTGCAACATACATCACCATGTTATTAGCAAAGGTGTCAGAACAGGCAAGTTGGATCACCCGATCGATTTCACAGAAAAAGTGGGGAATTTCCAAGTCTGTACAGAATGAAAGTCGCAAAAGCATTAAAGTTTCTAACAAGGCATTAAGGGCACTAAGGATCCAGGACACCAGAACCAGCAGTCCACAGAGCCAGGGGTTCATGATGACCATATAGTGCAAGGGGTGGCAGATGGCCACATAGCGGTCATAGGCCATCACAGTCAGGAGAAACATACCCAACACTGAAAAGATTACCAAAAAGTAAATCTGGGTGATGCAGTGTTCATAGGTCATGACTTTGCTCTGTGTGTGGATGTTTAGCAGCATCTTGGGGATGGTTGTAGAGGTGAAACAGATGTCTACCAAGGACAGATTGCAGAGGAAGAAGTACATGGGTGTGTGGAGGCGGGAGTCTGAGCTGACAGCCAGGATGATGAGCACATTCCCAAAGATAGTGAGCAAGTACATGGAGAGAAAAAAGCCAAATATGAGAGACTGCAGTTGTGGTTCCTCTGATAATCCCAGAAGAAATATTGTAATTTTTGTAACATTGCTTGTTTCCATGTGGTAAAGGTGACTTCTGGGAAAGAGGAAAATATCAAAACTAAGTTTAATGCAAAGTTACATTAATTATATATCTGAATGCTGGAGTACATATTTTGCTCTCAATATATTAGCTTTTGAATTCTGTGTATGGATTAGTGCAGGTTGGGAGATCCTCAGTGCCACTGTTTATAATATGGAATTGTGTCCTAATCATTATTAAGAGTTCATTTAATGTTAATTTTTTTTCATAGCAGGAGTACAAATTGATTGCTGATGGTGATGCTGGCACTATGTAACAAGTATACGATGCTGAAAACAAGTTCCCTCAAGTCAATGATGGGGAAGAAATATATATGCCAACAATAAATATATGTAACATTTCAGATAGTGGGAGATGATAATAAGAGAAAGAAAGCAGGTTTAAAGGAGAAGTGAATTGCCTTCTATATTCATGGGTATTTTGGCAAGACTTGCAAGCAAGATTGACATTTGAACAAGAACTTCAAGTAACAGGGAAGAGAGATGTAAGATTCTGTGGGAAAGTTGTTCCTCGTGCAGAGACCAACAATACTACCCCTCTGAGGCAGGTGCTTGTTTCAAATGTTTTAGTTGACAAAGGTGAGGTTCAGTGGTGAGGTGAATGAGTATGGGAGACCATGATTACAGATGCTGTCAAATATATTCAAGAGTGAAGTGGCATCTGTTACTGCTGAAGCTTCAAAGAAAAGTGAATTCCTTGTCTAGGCTACAAATCTTTTCCAGTTTATTAATTGTACTGCAAAGGATTTCCATGTCTAGTGGTGACCTAGATTCATATATTCCAAATTACTCTTATGACATATGGGTTAAAACACAATCAGTAACCCTGATACCCCTTCTCTGATGACCTTTTTTCTTTTTTTTTTGTTTGTTTGTTTTAAATAGAGGCATGTTACTTATTTGTTTGTTTGTTTGTTTAGTTTATACATGCACTGGGTACAGTCAGAAGCGCAGGAGGGTGAGAGAATTCACCAGAGCCAGAGCAGGGAGCAGAGCAGGCAGAAGGACCGAAGGATACTGCTGAGGGGAGCAGCGGGCAAAAGGAGAGGTCTGCGCGCCATGTGGGACCCTCCTCTGGTGGCTGGGGAGCAGCCTGGGATCGAACCGTTGCTGCAGAGGCCGCGGGCAGCTTCGCAACCCAGCGCTCAACCACTGTGCCACTGGGGAGGCCCTCTGATGACTATTAACACCACAGCATGTGCACACACACACACAGCCCCAAGGAGTTATGTAAGTCAGCCAGAATCAGTAAAACAGAGGTCCTTAAATCTTGTGGAGGATCCTCAAAGCACTAAAACTGGATCTAGGGATTCCACTCCTGGGAATCTACACAAAGGACACAAAAACACTAGTTCGAATGGAAACCTGTACTCCTACGCTTATTACAGCACTATTTACAATCATTAAGACATGGAAACAGGGGAGAAAAGAGAACAAGGGACTATGGTGATGGTTCAAGGGTAAATTGGTGATTGGAATTTGATGGGGAATACACAATGATATAAAAGATACAAATTAAATAAAAAAATAAAATAAATCTTAAAAAAAAAAAGATATGGAAACAACAAATGCCCCACCACAGATGAATGCATCAAGAAGGTGTGGTGTCTCTACACAATGGAATACTACTCATCAATCAAAAATAATAAAATAAACTCATGCCATTTGCAGCAACATGGATGGAGTTGTAAGGTATTATGCTAAGCAAAATAAGTCAGAAGGGAAAAGAAAAATATCAGATGGTCTCTCTTATAGGGATTATATAGGAAAACTGAACAAAGGATAAGCAAACAGACAAAACTTGTAGGCAAACCTTAAGTCTGAGTCATACAGCAGGGGAGGGATAGGAAGATGCGTCAAAACAGGGGAAGGAGAACATTCCTATTGGCAAGGGGGTTAAGTCTCAGTGCTATCATGCTATCACCACTGCAGCCTGAATTCGATCCCCAACCAAGATTTTAACCCACGTATCTCACAGCAGACCTCTCCTGCCTTGCTAGCTGTTTCCCTTAACAGTATATTTCAGTGGATCCACTTGTTCAGCTCCCCACTCTGTCTCTGATGAATCCTCTCACCACCATCCCCCTCACTTCTGGCCTACACCCCAGTTCTTCTATGCATGAATAAATACATCCGTTTTTAAGAAAAAAAGTGGAGGGGGGAGTATACAAGAGAATATGGTGATGGTTCATGGGTGCCCTGGTGGTGGGAGAACTACAGGGACTACACCTGATGGAAGAAATCAAATATTGTACAAAAAATAACAACAAATGAAAAATTAAAAAAAAAAGTAAAACAAAAACAAAGATCCTTCATAGTGGGAGGAAGTCTTGCTCTTCTCTAAGCCTGTGGCTGGCAATGTATTTGTAGTGGTTCACTTTTTCATGACTGCTTCAAGATTAAAGCTTAAGTGAGGTATTTGCGATTCAAAAACAAAATCCAACCTCTGGGTTTACATTATAGTGGCACAATATAATGAACTGGCAGATGATTACACAAAATATTTCAACTTTAAATATTACCCACAGTATTCTATACATATAAATAAATGTATGCAAAACAACAAAGCAGAAAAATCTCCAACTTTCATTGAAAGTATACCATCAAAACCAATAATAAAAAAATCAGAACTCAATAAAGAATCTGCAGGCCTCCCCTGGTGGCGCAGTGGTTGAGCTCTGGGCTGCAAAGCTGCCCGAAGCCTTTGCAGTGCAGGTTCAATCCCCGGCCACCGGGCGAGGGTCCCACAAGGTGTGACAGACCTCTCCTGCCATGCCCACTGCTCCCCTCAGCAGTGTATTTTGTCAGTCTGCCTGTTCTGTTCTCCACTCTGGCTCTGGTGAATTCTCTCACCCTCCCGCGCTTCTGACAGTCCCCAGTGTTTGTATAAACAAATAAATAAATAAATAGATAAATCAATAAATATATTAATTAATTAATTAATTAAAAAAAGAAGAATCTGTGCAAATAACTTGCATTAGTCAGGTTACCATAGAAGTAAAGTGCTATCAAACTCAAAAATATGTTCAGCCTCACTGATAAAGAAATAATTGCAGAGTAAAATTCTTTGGTATCCCTATAGGCCTAGTAAATAAAATGAACTGTTTTGCAGGTAACATTTACCTCCACTAGTCTAGAACTCTCTGTAAGTATAGCTTTTATTCAAATACACCTCACCTGTAAAAGAGTTTTTAAATGAGTTCAACACCTACCACTCACACCTAAAAACTCTATTTTTCTTTCTCCATAAACTGCAAAAATCCTTGGAAATGTTCTAACTTTACTGGATCATTATATACTTTCCATTCTTCTTAGTCTCATCCAAATGCATGTAAATTCCCATCACTTAATTATCAACAATGACCTTTGATTTCTGAGTACAATTGGCAGTTCTCCTTTCAACAATTACAAAAATTATTATGGCAATCTCTTGTCTCTAGGCTAGTAAATATCTCAGATGAAATCTGGTAAAATCTCTCGGTTGCTTTCCTACTGAGTCACCTCTGAAGTAAGTCCTAGACTCTCTGACCCACCTGGATGAGGTCTTTGAGAAGATCGTCTCCAAATGAAAGTCCAAGTTCCTCCCTGGATAGTGGATAAAGGGGGCTGAAATTTGTTCCTAGACAAGCTAGCAGGAAAGAATGAAATATTGATCCCTGAATCAGATGTATGATTACAAACACAACAATCACATCCTGTGCACCTCAAGATTGTACAAATTCTGGGTCTGCAAGAGAAGGAGATATTTACAGCTACACGTGTCTTCTCATTAGTCACTTTTTTTTAACTTCCAACCTCTATGCACGTGATTTACCAACAGATTTTTTTCCTAATGACTCAATTCCCAAGAGATCAGGTTAAAAGTGTAGTGAATTCACATTTAATTGTTCCTCCTTTTTGAAGTTTCTGTTCTCCAGAGGTCTAACCTCCCAGCAGTGTTTCTGGTCTCCAGAGGTCTAACTTCCCAGCAAAGTATCACAACCTTGAATTCAAGTTTTCAAAAATGTCTAAGACTGGAGCTTCCCTGGTGGCACAAGGGGTTGAGCACAGTGCTGAGGATGTCACGGCTTCTGAAGCCCAAGTTTGCTCCCCAGCTAAGGAGCTACCCACATGGTACAGCAGACCTCTCCTGACTCACCTGCTATTTCCTTCAGCAGTGTGCTTCTGTTTATCTGCCTGTTCCGTTCCCCACTCTGTCTCTGTATTTTTTAACAAAGTATTTTTTAACAAAGCCTAGTGAATCCTCTTACCTTCCACACCTCTGGCCTGTACCCCAGTTCTTGTAATCATAAATAAATAAATCTTAAAAAAAGTCTAAGACCGAGGCTAGGGACCAATCTTGACTAGATCCTTTGGAATTTAGGCCACAGAAAGTGGTGGGAACACAAGCACTAATATTAAAAAAGAAACATTATATTCCTCTATTCAACAAAAAAGAGAATTGAGTGCCTTAATATAAATACTTGGGCAAATGTTTCTCTTTTCATGAGATGCTGAAGCATCTAGAAATTTCATATGTATATCATAAGTTAGCAGCTATGATTTTGTCTTTGATTATAAAATGTTTGTTCACTATCAGATATACTTTTAGACATTTTAAATGCCTTGCAACCTGAGTCAGAAAAATTTAATTATGTAAACTTTATAAAAATACTTTGTATGTAATAAATAGTACATTATCAAATGAATTGTGCATTGCAAAAATGGGGCTTGTGGAGTTTAGTACCCTGCCTAAAGTGATATTTTTATGTTACATCATTTAACAATATTGATTGAATGCATTAAACTCAAATGCTGAAACTGAAAATATTTAGGCAGAATAATAAATGCACCTCCTGATATGTTCATTAAGCTGAAATCAAAAGTATTTTTTTAACAAAGCC